GCACAGGTGGTGACAAAGATGTATCGACCCAGCAGTGACAAAGATGTGCTGGGCAAAGGCAGTGACGAAGAAGTGCCAGGCACAGGTGGTGACAAAGATGTATCGACCCAGCAGTGACAAAGATGTGCCGGGCAAAGGCGGTGGCGAAGATGTCTCCCGCACAGGCGGTGACGAAGATATGCCGGGCACAGGCGGTGACGAAGATGTGCCAGGCACGGGCGGTGACAAAGATGTACTGGGCACAGGCGGTGATGAAGATGTATCGGTCCAGCGGTGACGAAGATGTGCCGGGCACAGGCAGTGACAAAGATGTGCTGGGCACAGGCGGTGACAAAGATGTGCTGGGCACAGGCAGTGACGAAGATGTTTCGGGCACAGGCGGTGACGAAGATGTATCATCCCAGCGGTGAAAGATGGCACCTGAGGATTGGCACCTTCAAAGTTCGCTGGATCTGTTGAGGCAGTGGCAGTTCTGAGTCACGTCAGAACTCGTACGTAGGTAGACTTCTCTTTTAACTATATCTTTTCATTTTCTTTTACTCTTAAACTATCAAAATGGCACTGGATTTGATGACAAATGAAAGTTTTTCACTGTATTTTATTGTATTTCACTGTAAAATGCATGTGATAATAAATCATTCATTCATTCTTACGTTTACTGCATGATACTCCTTATATGAGAAAATTTCAGAACTTCTGGTGCAAAACTTTTCCCATGTCTTCATACCAAACTGGGAGGAAAGCATGTGCCCAAGCCCAGCAGCATAAGAGAAGAGCAGAGGCACACTTCCTTGCTGGAAGCTGTGGAGCACTTTCAGTCATGAGAAAGCTCATGCTTGAAATGTCAGTCTATTTTCTTCAAGGGTTAATTTCACAACAAACACGTACATTACTGTTGTCTGTTGCTACAAAAGAGTTGCTTTCTTAGAGCGAGAGGGACATCAGAAGGCATGCTTTTCAATCCCACTCTAGAAAAGAAATAGGTAGACTCCTGAATTCTTGGGCTGATAATCTGGCTGCAGTCATAAATGTCATCTGCTAAGCAGAAGAAATTGTCCATATTTTTAGACACTCGCTGATAATACCCTGCATGAACAAGCAGTATGCATCAACTAATTGGCTTCTCATTCCCTGATAGTACATTATTAATTCTTGTGGGTGTGAACTTGTAACAATTCCACTAAATGCTGAGACTTAACCAGGACACCACAACAAAGGACTTACAGATGCACTCTGGCTGAGTACCACTCCAGGTAAGATTGACCAGACATGTGCGTGTGGTTGATCCAAGGAGCAGATAACCTTTCTGGCACTTGAATCCCATTGTACTTCCAACCTGTATCAGAATGAACAAATTTATGTTAATAAACGTGATGACACATGGATGTTTAAAAATTCCATCTAATTTAGAAATGTACGTATTTCATGACATGACTAACATTTTGCATCCTTATTATTTCAATCTCCAGGACCAGTGAGAAAGACTTGTTCCAGTGACAGCCTTCTAATACCAAGGCTCTATTGCATCCAAAACCAACGGAATACTTTCAGTTCTTTAATCCTAAATTTTTGTTTGCAATTAAACTGTTCTTAAAGGGCATCATCACTGTCGGGAAGTTACTAGCGCTTTTTCCATGCCTGTTACACTTACTTTTGGCATAATCATGATAAAACTAGTGCCAAGATCAACTCCCAAGAAAGTACAAGCATGTTTCCTCATAAAGATCACAGGCACAAAAAAGTTTTTCCATCTCTGGTGAGCATCTTGTGACAATCCCTGATGTGATCGAAATGTGCTGCTTTCATGCAGCTCTAATTGCCATCTACTTGGAGTACAATATACAGTGAAATCACTTCCACCTGGTTTTTACAAAATGTGAACATATGTGTGGAGCAAACATAAAATTCATTTTCGTTTAATGACCTGAGTGGCAGATACGTCTTCATGTCACAGGATGTTGCAAATATGACATTTGAGTTAGGAATGGTGCACCAGCTCACTTGCATTGATGTTGCATTATTCATGGGAAACAATGTCCAAAATTACCCGGAAGTGGTGGGTATCAAACAGGAGATTATAAAATGGGGCAGCACGGTGGCTCAGTGGTTAGCACTGTTGCCTCACAGCGCCAGGGACCAGGGTTTGGTTCCACCTTCAGGCGACAGTCTGTGTGGAGTTTGCACCTTTTCCCTGTATCTATGTGGGCTTACTCTGGGTGTTCTGGTTTCCTCCCACAGTCCAAAAATGTGCAGGTTACATAGATTGGCCATGCTAAATTGCCCATAGTGTCCAGGGATGTGCAGGCTGGGTGGATTAGCCATGGGAAATGCAGCGTTACAGAGAAAGAGTCGGGTGTGGGTCTGGGTGGGATGTTCAGAGGGTCGGTGTGGACTCAATGGGCCGAATGGCCTGCTTCCACAGTCTAGGGATTCTAAGATTCCATGAAAATATGTATGTAATTTTAATACGGGGTAGGGGTGAAAGATAATTGAAAGTACATCACAGATCCTGGATAGATACTCAGGATAAAGTTAAAAACAGAGAGAGAGGGATGGTTTCTTGTGGCACAGTTGCAGAGTTCCTATCTCTGAGGCAGAAGACCTGGGTTCAACTCCGACCTGCCTCAGATGTGTGTCTTAACATATCTGAACAGGTGAATTAAAATAACAAAAAGCAGAGAGGGAGATAATGGGAAAAAATTATTTAGAGAGAAGTTTTCTGAGGGCATGACCACGATGACAGAATAATTTGCCACCCTGGTGAAGACGAAGAATTGGGGAACAGTGTTCTAACTGGGAGGACAGCAGGGTTGGCAAAGAAGTATGATTGTAGATGATTACTCAAATAGCACGCAGCGAGGTCATGAACTGGCTTGAAGTGCAAGTCAGCACAGAGACTCAGCGGAACCTAGCCAGTAGTTTTATATCCCTTTGTGGTGCGAGAGCATCACTAGCAAGGCCAGAATAGTTACCAATTCCTAATTTCTTGAGAAGGTGATGGTGATCTACATGTCTGTCCCTATACAGTACATCACAATACATCTACAATGCTGTTAGGAAGGAAGTTCCAGGTTTCTGACCCAGCCACAGTAAAAGGAACAGCAATATATTTCCAAGCCAGGATGATGTGTGGCTTGGAAGGGAGCCTGCAGGTGGGTGATGTGCCCATGCATCTGCTACTCTTGCCCTTGCAGATGGCAGAGGTCAGAGATTTGGAAGATGTTGTCGAAGGAGTCTTGGTGTGTATTGCAGCAATGCATCTTGTGTATAGCACTCACTGCTGCCACTGTGAGCTGATGGTGGAGGAAGTGAATGTTGAAGCTTGTAAGTGGGGTCCTAATGAAGTGGGCTGCTTTACTTGGGATACCTTTTGCTCCTGAGCACTGTTGGAGCTGCAAATATCCAATGGAGAACAGGGATAAGTAGATTAGTTCAACAATCATGGCAACTGATGAAGTTGAAGCTTGACAGATGTAGGTGAATATAAAGCATGCAGTTGATGAAGGTTGGAAGAAACTTGGAAGGAGTGAGAGAGAGGATTTTCAATTTCAGTCTTAGACTTCGGGGAGGCACTGGACACTTTGAAAAGGTTTTATAAAGCTGTCAGAGTAGATTTTTTTCAGAGACAGAGTGAGTGAGGGGTGGGAAAATTTAAGGGATAAGGAATGAGGAACTAATTAGAAATTATTCATCGATATTTCATGTGATGAGAATCTATCTGCCAAACAGGCAGGGAGAAGGTGCAAACTCCACACTGATAGCAGTCACTCGAGCAAACGCTGGTGCCTGATGTTGTGAGGCAACAGTGCTAACCAATGAGCCACCGTGATGCCCTATTTTATAATCTCCTGATTGATACCCACCACTTCCTGGTAACTTTGGGCATTGTTTCTCATGAATTATGCAACATCTGTTGAGGTGTTTTGTGTCATTTCTGATTCTTTTTTGCAAGGGTTTGTGTATAGGGTCCAATTCCACATATTTATTGATTACATTATGGGTGAAGAACCAGGTCTCTAGGAATTCCTGTGCATGTCTATGTTTGTCTTGAGCTAGGATGGTCATGTTGTCCCAGGTAAATTGTTGGGATTTGTTGTCTCTTTGTACTGAAATGAGGGAAAGTTTGTCATGTCTTTGGTATGTACTGCTGCTTAGTTATTTAACAAATGTGTACAATATTAAATGGAACAGTATCCAAATTATTGTGTGCCATTGAGATCTGGGCTAGACCTCTTTCAACAAAGTAAGGGCTTGTGACTCGAGCTCAAAATTGTCTTCTGAAGTGAAACCGTATTAAACCACTACGAAGAATGCAGCTTCACTACACGCACTGCAGTAGCTAAAGCAGGTGATCTACTATCATGATCTCAAGGACAATGAGAAAAGGAAATTAAATATTGCCTTTGTGGATCAGGCATAAAGAAGGAGTAAGTAAAGTCTCAGCATAGTACTAGACAGTGAATTAAAAACTGAATATTCTAGCAATCCATAGCAGTCTTACCTGCATCTAAAGGACAAAATAATTGGTGCTTTAGCTGTGAAATATTCACAATGATCAAACCCCGTTTTATTAAATACCTCACAGACTACCTTAAGAAATCGGGGGGAGGTGGGGGGGAGGAAAACTGTTCCTCATGTGCTTCTCCAAGTGATGTTATGCAGATTACTTCAATTCTGTGTTGAAAGAAAGGACCGTGCAGTGCTGACCTTGTGTGAAGTGCACAGCATTCTTCAATGATATCAAAGAGAAAGCTGTAACAACTCTCGGGTGCTGTTTGCCATGGGGAGGTGTTGGGTCGATACTGTGGCTTTAAGAGGCACGCTTTCTCCTGTTTTCTTTTAGACAGAGATTGGGGGACAAGTGCTGAGCAGTTTATGAGAAGATAAACAATTTGTGAAGCCTTGTGTTTTTTTTCAGAAAAGTTGGAACAATAGAAGCAGCCTGAATAGGTGTGGTCAAGCTCCCACCCATAGAATCAGGGATTTTAATTTTAGCTTTTAGCAGTTGTTGTTGTGGTCTTGAAGAAGTGGAAACTATTTTTTGCTCTCTCAATCACAGCCAAAAGCTGGAGGTTCTCTTCTTAGGATTGCATGTGAGACAAAATCTGTTTTCTGAATTTGCCTTTTTGCCAAGGGTGTGTTTATGGGATGTTACTATATTGGAACAGTTAATTAGTAATAGCTATCATTTCTATTATTTTGTTACATTTTCTAATAGAGTTAGATTATTCCAAGTTCTTCTTTCTTTTGTTGTATTTTAACAACAGTGTTTGAATAAATTGTCTTTTGCTTAAGGTTAAGAAGTTTAACCAATCAAATTGCATCTGGAACACAGCACCTGACATTTACCTTTATAAAAAAGACAAAGTTAGGATCTAGGCTACCTTCTTAACATATTTTGAGGGGGTCTGGTCTGGTCTGTAATAGTATGTATATTTGCTCAACACCATTGAAGCAGTGCTATGCCAACAACATCTTCCGCTCACTCCCTCAATCACCAATGGACTGCTTCTTTGAAAGCACCTCAAACACCTGTGATCTCTTCCACCTTGATAAACAGGGCAGTGTAAGTGTGGGAACACAGCCACTCGCAAGTCAATTGCCATCCTGTCTTGGAGATATGTTGGCATGCCTTGACTGTCATGAGGTCAAAATCCTGACCCAAAACACTTTATGCATGCCTAAACTATTCAGATTACAGCGGTTGAAGGAGGTGGCTCAACATCACCTTCTCAAAGGCAATCGAGGATTGACACGATTTCTCATATTACAATAATGTACAGGGAAAAAAAGTCCTCGGTATGTTTAAGATGTTACAGATGAAATAAAAACACATGTTGCTGTTCTGCACAATCATAGCCAAGTACTACCTTTAACTCATCATCACAAACTCAAACAATACAACGCCAACAGTACAGGCCAGCCAATGTACAGAATCCCAAATTAAGTCTATCGGCGAATGCAAATTTTGCAGAGTAACACTTTCTATCAATTATTTTTACAGGTTGGTTTGGTTCCACTCCAGACTCTATGAAATTCTCTTTCTGCATAGCATGGCCATAATTCTCCACCTTTGTACTCCATCAATAAACTGGGAAGTGCGAGTGAGGTCAGCCACTTAAGCTTGCATAGGTAAATACTGCATGCCATTCCTTTGGTGTAACTGTAACAGAGTACCACACACCTGGTAACCTTCAGAATTGTTCTGTATTCCAAAGATGGGCACACCTGGGTCAACGCAAGTGGTATGTGTTGAATCTTAAGAGAAAGAGACATATGATTAATATACCATTTAAAATTTGAATGAAGAAGCATTATAAAAACACTTTTTCATTATTATGCTAGAAGCTGAAAAATTTGGATTTTGCAAGGAAACTGGAGTATTTTGTAACTGAAAATTCTTAACAGACCAGTGGGGTAAGGCACCATTGTAGTACAATGTTGTGTTATGGAATAGCAGTCACTGGTATATACCTCATGTAATTATCGTTGGTATATTGAGGGTGGTGGGGTGAATGGAGCAGGGCAAGAGTGAATCACTTGAAGAATCAAACAACACAGTTTCCTTGTACCATTCCTGCCTATTGAATCAGAGAGTATTGAGAGAAGGTTTGAGGTGGAATGAGGGAGTCGGTGAGCAAAGTGGGAAAGAAGACAATTTGAACGAGGTTGCTTCAAGATCTTCTCATAGTCACTCAACATTAGAAAGCATAAGGTCCTGTTTCCTACACACCTTCTTGGCAATGAGGGACTTACAGATGAGAGGCACTAAAAAGGCAAATGACTTGGATTCATACAATGCCTCACTCAACATCCAGTGCTTAAATATTGCAGAATGTTTTTGGTGAGCACATTAGACAATCTGTTTCTGCTGATCCCACAGTCCAACAACACAGTCTAAGCAACATTTGGTCTCCCAAGTTGAGTCTCTGACTGAAATGAACATGGACCTATCATTTACCCATACAGGTAGGCTGTGTTCCACTCCAGGTGCCATCAGACTGGCAAAACCTCCTGGATGACCCCACGAGTACCAATGATGGGTTGCAGGTGAAGAAAACAGCAGATTTGTATGTAAACCCTCGGTCTTCTCGTCTTCCTTGTGCTGGGATTCCTGGGTCTCCACAAAACACAGCTGCAGCAGCGAAGTGACAGATGAAGTTAAAAATCAATATTCAAAAAACACAATCATACCCACATCAATCTTTAAATTTATACATAGCAATATTATCAGCCCATAGTTGGGAAAGAAATACATTGCTCCGTCTGCCTTAAGCATTGATCTTGCTGGGCTTGCACCTTGAGCTTAAGAAAGGGAGCGGACTATCAAGGAGTAGGTGACGTGTATTTAAGAGGATTCTAATCCTAATGCGGAACATTCACTGGAGTACACACTTGCAGTTTGAACTGATTGTTTTGTAAGGAACTAGTAATCTGTGACCAGATGCTTCAGTGCCTCACATCAAGACCATGACAGGTATCCTTAATAACATAAGCGTTGCACTGTGGCATTATAAATTTGCAAGCTGGAAGCAGACACTACAGGTCGTCCATCCTGAAAACCCTCAGCTTCCCATCAGAGCAACCAAGTGGTTCTTAAATGTTTACACACTATTGCTTTACTGCATAAATCAGGGGTCCTTTCTATCAGCTGATCACTGTGTGTGTGAAACTCCTGTATCAGTACAAAGTTTTATTCTGCCAGTTTGAGATGCTCGCATTTGAATAAACATTTTATCTTAACATCAACTAAGTTTTCTGATTTACCTTTTACTGTTCTATTTACATCAGTGAGATCCCCTTGGGTCATTTTTTTATACATTACTCCATGTACTTTAGCTCTGGTAAGTTACATTACTTCCATACATGTGTCTTAGTTCCCAATGGCCACCTAAGTATTCATGAGCTGAGATCCAGACATCTTCAGAGTGTGAGCCCAGGATAATACATAAAGGACTTTCTGTACATTTCTTTGGCTATCATGTGCTGCCTTGGAGATGAATTCTGTCTTTCAGAATTTGATTGAAAGCACAGTACGCATCAACAATCAAATAAATGAAAATACAGGTCAACAGGTGCAACAATAATGTGAGATACGTCTATGCTCACAGTAATTTATACCAATCAAATCCTGGCAATGAAACAATAAACGCAACAATTGAGCTATGCTAAGAACACAGTTATTCTTTTCCTCTATCTTGCAACTGTGGAGGCTAACTGTAACGGGTCATGCCTTTCAAAGTTGCAAATTCAGTGCTTGAATTGGCTAGCTCAACCTGTATAAATAGGTGTCATTCTATTTATTGGAGCTTGTTAGATTCAATGATTGTCAGCTCAGGTCAGTCAGAATATATTACTCATCACACAGCATGTTTAGATTTGAAATATGTCCCTCCCTTGAGCAAATTTACTCAGGAACAATTACACATAAAAGAAAATTACAACAATTTTTTGGATAAATTGAACTACATTCCGTTAATTATGGTTTTGACTGTAGTTGTGAGTTTTTAAATTATGGGGTATATGGGCTATACCGTCAAAGCAAACAAAAATGCTTTAATTTTGTCATACTCCTAACTCAGTCATCTTCTCCCAAGGCTCAATAACCTACGTTTCTTACCCAGGAAATTGTTTTTTCTGCTTATCAGAATCTTACCATGAAGGCCCTTTGCATTACCCTTTCAAATGTATTATTGACTTAAAGCATTCTGTAAATCCCATTTCATGGCTCCATTCATGAACCACTCATTTATTGATCCCAATCCCATTCCAATGTTTGGAATGAGTTCCATGTGATGTTAATTCGAGGTCCATATCTGGGGATGGTGGTTGAATGGGGAAACTGCCTGTTGAAAAATGAGGCTGTTGATTCAGCAAAATAAAAAAAGATAGTTATTACTGGCTATCTTCAGGTTCACTTTGAAAGACATTTGTGGTTTTGTGTCTCTTGTTTCTGAAGTTCTCCATGCAGGTCACATGACCACGGGGAGCCAGATTCACGTCAAGGAATTTTGCTCCTGAACTTAACTAACATGAAGTGAAGTCAATAAGCAATGCTTAACCAACAAAACTAAATTGCTGTTGGCAACCTTTAACCTTTAGACCAGTCAACACTGGACATCTAGGGCTAAAGTTCTGCTCAGTATTTTTCAAAGTATGCTTCGCGCAGTCAGCTATCATTCCCACGTAAACAGGCTGACAGACAATGTCCTTGATCCAAAAGTAGTTCTCTTTCACTCACTGACATTGTCACTTGCTTCAGGAATCCACAATAAGATTGAGACCACGCCTGGAGTATGGAACACAACTTTGGTCCCCTTACTTGAGAAGGGTTGTAGTTGAATTGGAAGCAGTTCAGAGGAGGTTTAATAGATTGATTCCAGAGATGAGGTGTTTGTCTTATGAAAAGAGGTTCAGCAGTTGAGGCCTATACTTTCTGGAGTTGAGAAGAATGAGAGGAGATCGAATTGAGGTACATAAGACACTAAAGAGGATTGATAAAATATATGTACCATATTGTGGGGCAACGAGAGGTCATAGTTTTAGAGTAAAGGGTTTAAAAGATTTAAAACAGAGATGAGGAGAAATTACTTCTCTCAAACGGTTGTGAATCGGTGGAATTCACAACCCCAGAATGTCGTGGATACTGGGATGTTGAGTAAATTTAAGGAGATAGACAAATTTTTAGTTGTTAATTGGTTGAAGGATTGTAGAGGATGCGCAGGAAAGTGCAGATGAGGCTGAGACAAAGCTAATTTTACCTGGTGGTCTTTCATGATCTCTGGGCATCTCAAAGCAGGTTAAAGCCAATTTCATACTTTTGAAATAGGGTAACTGTTGTAACATAGGGAATAAGGCAATAAGTTTCGCACAGGCAACTCCCTATAAACTATAGAAATGACACTGTAGTTTTGGTAGTAACATTATCGAAGCAAAACCTATCCTTTTGAACTTCCTCTTCCAATCTAGCTAGCTTTCATCCTTGGCTAGTACAAGGAGGGTAAATGTCATTTAAATATTAACCCTTTGGTTTGAATTACAGAAAATTACAGATTTTCGGTACTAGTGCAATGAAAAATACTGAATTGACAGTCAGGTATGCAAAGCCCAAAGACCAAATTCATGAAAATTCATGATCTTTCAGTGCATTTCCCTTGAAACCTGGCAGGAGGACTGAAAATGAAACATAGATTAGACATCCTGCCCTATCTCAGGATGCGGCCTCCATCAATCCCAGACAAGATTTGGCCAGAGTCATACAGCACGGAAACAGATCCCTCAGTCCAACCAGTTCGTGCTGAACATAATCTCAAATTAAATTACTCCCACCTGCCTGCTCCTGGCCTTTATCCCTCCAAACTTTTCTCATTCAGAAATCCATTCAGATGTCTTTTAAACGTAATTGTTTCCCATCCACCACTTCATCAGAAACTTTATTCCACATGCAAACCACCCTCTGTGTTAATGGTCAGCAGGAGGGGAGGGCAGGAATGAAAAGTTCAGGTCAGCAGACTGGGAAATCACTCACTATATTTGCTCCGCAGCTCACAGCAAAGAGACTGTAAGGAATCAGTCAGGTAGAAGTTGAAGGGGTTGAGTTTGGGATATAAGCACTTCCGACTTGAATCTCTGTGATAGATGGTGTCAGGTAACAAGTGGAAACTTCATTGTGTTGTGTGTTTTAAGATCATTCTAACTTTCTTCTATATATGGATAGATTTTTTAAATTAATCTTACTTCTGTATAATAAACTTCTGTTCTGTTGTTAAATAAAATCTGCAGCCTCATAAATATATTTCAGTGACTAACCACTACATTAATTATTAACAAACAAACATATCTACCAAGTCCACTTTCATTTTGGAATCTGACATGTGCAGTTGCACCATCTGCTGAGACCATATATACCAAAGCTAGGATTATGGGTGAGCAATGGGGGCAAGTAGAAAATATTTGCAGTTTCTACCCAAATCTTAATGGTTCTGGTTCATTGCTCAATTTTGCATCAACTAGAATGAATGTGAAGTCTGGTTCAGAAAAGTCATATAGAAATTGAAACATTGTAATGCTATAGTAAGGATTGATATCCTGAGGCTGTAATTAATGTATATTATTCACTTGGCATAAAGTAAACTTCTTTGCAGTTAACCCATACGGTATGTACTGTATTCTGAGTCAAATGTTCAACAATCGTAACACATATAAACTAGGTTGATATTCTAAAGCAATGCTGAGACTCCACTATGTTGTTGGATATGTTGCCCTTTGAATGACACTTTAAACCAAGGCTGTGTGTCCTCAACTAAATATTCCACAGCATTATTCACAAAAATAGTGGGGTGATCTCCTGGCCAATAATCCATCTGTCAATAGCACAAAAGCAAATTTTCTGGTCTTTTGACTAGTTATTGTTCGACAGTGATTGTACTTCAAAAACACTTCATTCATTGTAAACTGCTCTGGGACATTCTGACATTGTGAAAGGTACTCTATAAAAGCAAGTTCCTTATTTTCAAACTTGACTTTGTTTTTAAAAAAGTGAGTTAAACAGATTTGATTCTTTTTTCAAAAATAAAAGTTCCATTGGACTCGAAATGTTAAGTTTATTTCTATCTCCACACGTGTTGCCAGACCTGCTGACTTTCTTCAGCACTCACTCTTTTTATTTCAGATCAATAGCAGCCACAGTACTTTGCTTTACTTTTCCATGTGAGACTGAAGATGGTGTCAGGTGATGGAAACTCTAGCAGCCAGATCTGCTAGGAACCCGTATATTGGTTTCCATAAAAGTGTACTACAATTAATTGCAATTACAACATCTGTAACATTTTCTTTATCAAGTTCTGCCATATATTTATATATTAAAATTAAATACAATGTCTGATATTGCTGGTCAGTGCAGCTCTGTCTGTGTGATATACTTACGAAAGCACTGTGGGATCTCCCCAATCCAGGTCCCATTTCCCTCACAGGTAAGCACAGCAGGTAATGACAGCTGGTATCCCTCAGCACAGGTGTAGCTGATGCTGGCCCCCCAGCTGAAGTCTGTTCCCACTACAATTCCATTGAGGATTCTCGGAGGAGGTTGGCATGTGATTGCTGCAGAAGAGCAGTGCTCATGAGAAACTCCAAATGGTTCAGTTAGGTAACTTTTGCACTCAATGTCATTCAGCTATTAGCAACACAATATCATTTCAAGTGACAGTTATTGTGAGGGAACACTGTCCTTTGGATAAGACTTTAGCCCACCACTCAAGGTGAAGCTCATGCCCTTAAAACATAATTTAAAGGAGAATCAGACCAGGGCTTCAGAATCAGACCTATTACGGGATATGAGAAAAGGCAGAGAAACCTTTTTCTCTCGATCGCTCGGGTTTATAAGTTAGCATGAGCCAACAACCTTTTTCAACATGAGATCTCCTTCCATTCAATGACTCCAATTATGACCTCTAAATCCCGGAACCATCTCAACCACTCATCACTAAATCCTCTTTAATGTATCAATTTCCTTTCGAACGTAATTTTGTTGAAATTGTGCATAATCAAGTGTTATTTAAGAACATTAGCTAACTTGACTTATAGCCATCTGCCTTTGTGAGCCATCATTAGTACTGTTCAGAATAGCTCCATATTAACAGAATGTTTACCACAAAGGTCACCAGTTACATCCAAACCATTTTACTTTTTGAATTCTGCAAATAAAGATATACAAAATAGATACTCTCACTATTTGTTTACTTCATCCAGATCGTGTTTAACATTCTCAATCACTCTCAATCACTCTCTCATTATATTACTAGCCAGTCAGCATTTCATTGGATTCATTGGCAATTTTTAAAATCTTCCTGTTATATTTATCATTTCATTGTAAATAGAATGGGGAACCATGAACAAATCTCAGCAGAAGCTCATCAGCAAACACAAAGTGGAAAACTCTCTGGATTCCTTTCCACAAATAATCAGAGAATAAGGAAAATTTACTTATGGAATTGCCAAGGTAGTCACTAAATAGGAGCACCTGGACAGTTTGTTTCCAGTGAAACCGCTTCGTAAACACTGCAAATGGGCAGAGGCTCTGTAAGGAGCACAACAGATGCTGATCATAAAACTGCCAAAGGCAAAATTATTTGATGCAGCATTCCCTGATGAAATGAACACACAAAAATGCAAATTTCATCTGCACAGGCTCTGCAATGATTAAAAAATACAAAATAGTTCATTGTAATTTAGAAAGTCAAAAAAACAATTTTGGAAGTCATTAATTACTCCATTTTTCAGTTCGTGGTGATATTCTTCAACAATGACACAGTGCTTTTAATGCAGTAAAATGTTCCTGGGTACTCTTGATAGCATTATCAAATAAAATTTGACATCATGCCACACAAAGAGATGTTAGAATAGATAGCCAAACACTGGGTCAACAAGGTTTTAAGAAACATTTTGAAAAGAGGCAACAGAGGTCGCAAAGCTTAGGGAGGAAATTCCAAAAGCTAAGGCCGTGAAGCTAAAGGTACCACAAGGCAGGACTGGAAAAACAGAACTAAAATGCCTATGAGAGAAAGCCCACAAATTCCAGGAGTGGGGAACCAGGCAATCATTAATGAAGTTACTTAAAGTGATAAGAATTGGGCAATTTAGTTTGTTTTCTGAAAACTTGGAAAATAAAACGGGAGTTATAGTGAAGCTCCGAAGCACAGGATAACTTCCATCACAGGTACAAAAGGGTGAGAAAACGTCCACTACAATAATAAATTATAGAAAAAAAAACCTTCAGTACTGCAGTGAGGCATGAGCTAACTGCTTTTATTTCAGAATGAAAATCTTTAAAGAAGATAAAATATCTAATCACATTAGGAATCTATACCTTCAGAAATACTAAAGTCAGGAAGATTTAATTTTAAAGATAGAACACATATAGAAGACAAAACTGGACCTCCTGAAAAAGACAATCCTTGAGATATACAGTAGTTTCTAAATTTTATAGTGATATAGAAGGTGAACAAGTAAGTACATTTCTGTACACAACTGGGAACATAGCAAATGATGTTTTTACTTGACAAGGGATAAAATAAACATCAAACAAATTTGAAAAGATACCATAAGCCTCTGACAATTATTTTGACCACAGAATTAAGAAAACTCTTTAAAGGGCAAAATTTAACAAGAGACAGTGTCACATCTAGTTGAATCTATAGGTTATGTCCTTGTTTTATTAAAAATAAAAATGTTGGACTGGGAAGTAAAAACGTGATCTTGTTAAAATACTGAAATAAAATCATGGGCCAATTGACATTCATGTCTCGCTTGTCCGTTGTCATAAATGATTGACTTACATCTGCAAGCTGGCCTGGTTCCATTCCAGGTTCTGTCCTTGGTGCAGATGAGAGTAGAATATCTCAAGGGATCCATTGTGTAGCCTGGCGTGCACTGGAAAACCACTGTCTTGTTATAGGTGAAGTCAGAACCCAGTCTGATTCCATTAGCTGGTATTCCAGGGTCGCCACAATTTATCACTGTAAGAAACAAGACAGCTAAGTACCATGAAAACAATACACTTTCATTTTACCCATATCCAGCGTGAGATATAGTACACTATAACAGCTTGTTTTGTGTCACAATCTGCCAGAATATTTCTTAGCTAGTACAAAGTTAAATCCATGCACCGGTCATGCTGTCCTAGAAAGACACACTGTTAGGTGTTTTTGTGCCCTCTGTGGTCGGCTCATGCTCTGTCACTGGAAGCAGAGTGGAGCATGCTAACACATACTCTCAGCTCAGATTTGTTGAAAAACCAGAGAAAGCTCAAGGAGTATGGGAAATATTTTTTTCAAATTTATTTCCATATTCCATGATCTAAAAGAATATAAATTAAATGTTAATTCTGGAATTATGAGCCACTGGAACTAAATTAGAAGGCAGAACCTCAAAGCTAACAACCTCTAGGCTAGTATCTAAGCCACTAGTAAATCAGCATAGGATAAATCGGATAATAGAGCTGAATACATGGCTCAACGATTGGTTTGGAAGAAATGGGATTTGATAAATGGGTCACTGGCACTTGTTCTGGGCAAAATAAAAGTTGTGTCATTGGAATGGATTTCATCTGAACCATGCTGGGACCTATGATCATGTTAATTGTATTACTTGGGTATAAATAAGGCTTTGAACTAAATACAAGGGAAAGGATTATGTGAGAGGGGATGTGCTAAATCAAGGGGAAACAATTAAGTAATGAAGTAATGCAGGACATTAATTTGGGTAATGATAACTGGAGTGCGGCCGGCAGGAACAGTGGGTACAAATGTAAGAATGAACCACCAGACAAAGCAAGAGATTAGAAGAGGTCAAAACACAGACTTCAAAGTTATGTATCTTAATGCAGGCAGCATTTATAACAAAATGGATGAACTGTTAACAAAGATAGGAATACCATTATTAAAGTTCCTAACTTCAGTAACATAAAGACAACTTCATAAAATAACAACTCATGGCTTAAGAGGTAACATGTTTGTGTGGATAAACAAACAGTTAGCTAACAAGAAGGTGAGAATTAGGATAAACCTGTCTGTTTCAGGCTAACTAAATGTAAGGAGTAGAGTGCCACAGGAGTCAATGTTGGGACCTCAAATATTTACAATGCTTTGGTAATGGGGACTGGATGAATGGTATTTGCTGATGAAACCAAGACAGGTGAGAAAGTAAGCTGTTAGAGGAGGTAGAAAGTCTGCAAAAGGATAAAGATAAATTAAGTCAGTGGGCAAAAAAATGATGCAAGAAAAATATGAACTTGTCTACTTTGACAGGAAGAAGAGAAAAGTAAGATATTAACTTAAATAGAGAGAACTGCAGAATGCTGAGGTAGAAAGAGATCCTGGAGTCCTGGTACATGATTCTCACAAAAAGAAACTAGTTTTGCAGGTGAAACAAATGATTAGGAAGGCAATTAAAATAGTGGCCTTTATTGAAAGAGAAATATAAAATCAGAGTCTGGAAATTTTACTCCAGCTGTCTAGGATCGTTGTGAGACCACATTTGGAGTACAGTGTAAAAAATTGTTAATTATTAATCTTATTTAAAATGCAAGTATATTATTCCATTACGATAGGTTCACAAAATGTGCACTCAGCTCACTCCTATGAACAAACATTGAATGGTTAGGTCTTTATCCATTGGAATTTAATAAAATGACTGGTGATCTTGTTGAAAAATATAAGATTCTGAAGGGACCAGACAGGGTGGATCCTGAGAGGATGCTACCGGTACTAGGGAATACAATTTAGGAAAAGGAGTTCTCACATTTAAGAGGAAGATGAGGAGAATTTTCTTTTCTCAGAAAGTGATTCATCTGTGGAATTCTCTTCACAATAAAACTGTGGAGGCAAGGTCATTGACCTTATTCAAGACCAAGCTAGATACATTGTTTTTAAGCAAGAAAGACAAGTGTTTTGGGGGCAGACAGGAAAACGGAGTTGAGACCACAACTGGATGAGCCATGATGTTACTGAATGGCAGAACAGCCTTGATGGGTCAAATTAAGTAATCCTGCTCCCAAATTCTATGTTCCTTTTGGGAAAATTAATCACAGAAGATTTCATGGCTGACGCAAAGTAGATAAAGTTTGTTGGAATAAATTGGACTGAAAGTTGTGATGGGCATGATTGCAAAACTCAAGGAAAACTGTAGCAAAGGACAAAAGTCAGTTTACAAGTAAGAATTTACCATCCTGTGCACATAATTAGAAAAATCATTTTTGATCCAAAGTTTCATTTTCCTTCCTCCCCTGTGTCACTTTTATAGCATATTATTCGGGTAATCCAATTAATGCTGCATCATTTATGAATCTTACTAACTTCCATTCCTACACACGAGAAGAGTTTCTAGTTCAGATTGCCAAGATTTTGCCTGCCAGATGAAAGCTTGTGCAGGAACAAATGCAGCAAATGTCGTATATGCTTCCCAGGCTTTGTTCTCTCCTTTTAGTTGAAGGAAGAGTGTTTAAAATGTACCATGTTACATATGTAAAATGAGTTGGCTATACACCTTTGTAATTCAACAATATTAGTTTCAATTTTGATATGTGCCACACAAAGAGAAAATGGAAATACAAAACTGACCTGTGCATTGCGGAGGCACACTGGTCCAGGTTCCATTCACAGTACAGTGTCTAGTTAACAAGCCAGTCGAATAGTAGCCTTCTCTACATGCGTAGGTAATGGAACTTGAGAAGACCAATTTGTTGCTGTACACTATCCTAGCGTTACGTGGCGTTCCAGGATTTCCACAGGACACAGCTGTTAATCATGTAAGAAAATGACAAAAATGGATTCATACTTCAACGACACAATAAAAGGGACCTCCTCTCTAGAAACGGACCTGTGGATGTCACTTTTAATTTTAATTCTCTATTCTGAATCTCAAGCCAATTGCCAGACATGACTGGATTGGCCTCCTAGATTCTGAAGGGTCATCTAAAAGATATTTGGAAAGTACTGAAAAGGCTATAATTATGTTTTAAATAAAAGGGCACATTGACAGTAAACAATGGGTGGCAAGGTGGCACAGTTGTCAGCGCTGCTGTCTCACAATGCCAGGGACCCTGGTTTGATCTCAGCCTCCGGCAACTCTCTGTGTGGAGTTCATACATTCTCCCCGTATCTGTGTGCGTTTCCTCTGGGTGCTCTGGTTTCCTCCCACAGTCCAAAGATGTGCAGGTTAGGTGGATTGGCCATGCTAAATTGTCTCGTAATGTCTAGGGATGTGCAAACTAGGTGGATTAGCCATGGTAAACATCCCATACGGGTGTAGGCTGGGTTTGTGTGGGATGCTCTTCAAACAGTTGGTGTGAACGTGTACTGCCAAATGGTCTATTTCTGCACTGTAGGGATTCTATGATACTAATTTTCTGGTTGACCGTGTATTTTTGTCCAGTGTCATTTACAATTATTCCAAGTCTCAGCCTGTCTTGACCAATTATTTTCTCATAAGGAAAAGAGATTTGTCTGCTGATTTATTTCAGTCACAGGAAGGGATTAGATGAAGTCTTTCCTATTCTCATGCTCAGAGTCTCTCACTTGAGATCAGATTGCTTTGGTTAGGTTGAAGTTATGGAATGTTCATTAATCTTGTCCCAAAACATTGACAAAGCAATTTTGTCAACATTAACTAAGAGCAGTGCCCAGTCCTCTATTAGTATTTTTCTGTAAACACATGAGAATGCACCAAATGCTGCAACAATAAAATACATCCAAGTTACAATGCCAACACTGACAAATTTAATCTTTCATCAGGTACCCTTTCTCTTTCAGTTAGAGTATCTGGGGTCAGAAGCTTCATCTTGGTTGTTATTGTTGTTCTACATTTGGAACCTTCCCTCCCTCACGTGTTTGTCACATTTAAACGGTGCTGCCAACAGGATGAGTGATTTATTTGTGGTATACTCAAACCTTTCTCTACGCTCTTGGAATGCCACATTCCTGAATCTCTCTCTGTCTATCTGTGTCTTTCCCTTACACACACGCAAGTACACATGAAGCCTATAAACAGCAAACAGCCACTGTTTGACAGATTTTAATGAATTATTTTGCTCACATTTCTGAAGCACCCTTGTGAACGAAGATGAAATCTCTTTTGATAAATGGAAGTGACACATTTACCTATTGCATCTTCTAATTACTTCTATAATCTCCAGCCCCAGGCTTCTTTGAAAAACAATAGTGAATGAATTAACTCACTGCCTGCTTCCTTGGAAAAAAGAGATTAAGTTGTTTACTCTTCTTGATTGAGTCCCTCCCTCTGCTACACATGCACCAAATGCTACATAACAAAAATATTGCATAATTATAACTGCTCAATATTACAGCAGGCAATTTTCCTTACTGTAACTGTCTCTGCCTCCCAGCTTTTTTGCTGGCCCAACTATATGAGCAGTGCAGATATCAGAAAGTGCAAAGAACAAATCTGCCCTCTCTGAGGATCATTGGTCTCTGATGATTATAATATTTGGGTAAATCACCTGATTTGCTCCATGCATTTCACCTATGCATATTCAAAGACGGGCTTACTTAAGCAACATTATTTTGCTGACAGGAGGAAGAGACGAGAAACTTTCATTTGTAAATTGGCCAATAAAGATTCTAAGAGACCCAATATTTTTCTGTTTTTGGATTATAAATTGATGTTCATATCAGACAACCTTAATTGAAAAATAAGAACGTTTTCCAACTTGAAGAAAAAAACAAGTGTTGCATATTGTTGAGCTGTGTATTACATGTTTGGAATCAGAAAGGGGTGGGAGAAAAGTCAAGACTGAGCAACATCAAGAATCTTTTGACTTAAGGACCTTCCGCCTGGCAACAAATCTCTGATTGGTTGAGCTGCTGAGCGTTAAGAAGCTCTGAATGCCAAAATCAGTCGAGAGGGAAAATATCCAGCCAGTAGATACCATCATCTCTCACCTGGCATGTGACCAAGAAGACAGAAAATTCCAGACAGTTTAAAAGAAATAATTCATACTAAGTAGCTAAACAACCATCAAATCAAAGGATGACTGTCACTAACAGTTTTGGGATCATGTCCAACATAATTCATTGGGTAGCTCACAATCACCCAAAGACATTTAACAGTTAGAGAGGAGTCAGTATTAGCTGGGAGCTGATGAGGCTTTGCCTCCAGGAGAATATTTGGCATGGCAATGCCTACCCTTTGTAACATAGGAAACTAGGCATGGTTATTGTGGCATTGAAGAATCCAACACATGTTCATGGCAGCTAATTATACACAAACAACAGAATACAATTGAGTATATGCTTCCCTTAGAGTGTAATACTTCAAATAATATGGAATATGAGAAAGCTATACCCTCAGGTCATATGCTATGATAAAGTGATGGTATCAGGAGCATATTCTTTTAGGTATACAAGTATATATTTATGAGACATAACACAACAGGAATTCGAGAGGACTGAAATCCTGGGTGGGAGTTCAGGAGCTCCAGGTCCTGATTGAGAGTTTGGGAACAATGAGTGAAATTTCCTTTGCTCTGGTCCAAGAGAAAGCCGTCTCCAGCAGCATTGTGACAGCTTCACACACCTGTTAGCCTTGCAGCTTGTCTGGCTGAAATTGCCAGAACAGTGCTAATTAGTGCAGAATAAATGGCCAGTTTTGGAATGTCAACTTATGCACACTAGAAACTTGAATGCTATGCCAAACTGATTTCATGTAGGACTTTATAACCAACAGAGAAGTAAGCGTGGCTCAGTCCAACTGTTGCTAAAATTGACCAGAAAAATGATTTAATTAACACCATCAATCCTGAAACAGCAATTTATGTTTTCTTTCAAATTTAGCTGAATGGGAAGCAAACTGCTGGTGGCAGCAACAACACAAAACAAGCCTCTGAGGCACAAGGCTACTTGTTTAATTCAGGCTGGCCACATAGAATGCTGCAGCCTTGCGCATACATTGAAGAAATCAAAGTTATAGAGTTTGATGTTTTATTCGCCCCTGCTGTGTTCCCTTGCACATGTTGCCAAATAGTCATTGGAAGAACATCTTTGGTGCTGGTGGACCAGACCATTTGCTCATGTGATTAAATTGAGAGGAAAATAAAGGTTGTTGTCATCAGTTATGATGTCACATTACCTCCTGTGCCAGGGTTCAATGTGAAATGGATTCCATGCCAGCTTTCACAAATACTTAATATCTTACTCCACAGCCACCCACTGAAGTAAATGGGTTTTCATGGATCAGTTGATGCTCTAATCTTTCTACGTGTGGCAAACAGCTTTTGACAGATTTCCCCAACTCTTATTCCACATAAGTCTTCACAAATTTCTCAAAGGTACCCACGTATCTCCAGATTCCTGCTGCCAAAAAAGATTTCAAATATTCATCTTCCCAGCACATTGCTATTGAGTTTACACGATAGATACTGGTAGATTGTTCAGTTAAACAGAGCCCCTGAGGTTGAACAGCAAGCTGCATATGGTTTAAGGGATGTACTTACAACTGCAATGGAGCAGATAGTCAATATTTTGTAGAGATCTTTCAAAATAAAGCTACATTTATTATTGATTTCTTCTTACAGATGAGCTCATTGGCTTCCAGTTTTCTGAAGGACAACAAACATTTGGCATTGCAAGGTGCTGATGTTCAATATTCTGGTTTGATGGGGAGGTGCAGGCAGCTTTATGGCAATAATGCCCCTTTACCATAAAAAGTAATTTTTTGTATGTCAAAGTTATTTTTAGAAGAAAATTTTGGAACAATACCACAGATGCATAAGTGAAAAGAGAAAATTGATATCCCATAATAGGAACATAGCTCAGCATGTATTAAGCTCATAGCTGTACAACATGCACGTTTGGAGTGTAACAGCGCTACCATCCCAAGGACAACTGCAATGGACAATGAATACTGGCTTGTCAAAACACATGAATGGATTAATAAATGCTACTGTTCTGTATATAGGTTAACCAGACATGAAACAAGGAGACAATTGGAATGACTGCACCCTAAAAGCTTAAACATAGTTCCATTGGGTGCAATGTGGCAAATAAATTTCTGTGTTGTATTGCTTAGGCTGTTTAGCATAAAGACTCGGAGCACTTTAATACAAGGGTTACATGGGATCTCATTGGACATACAGCATATTATTTTTATGCTCACGTCATCAAGTTGACACATTTTATTCCATGCAAGTTGAAAAGAAATGCTATCAAGGTGATTTCTGGCCTATTTGCTTTAAGCTATAGAGGATCCTCACACATTGGAGAGAATTGCAGGAAGATTATTAGGTTCCAGAGGCAGATATCTCATGAGAAAAGCAATCAGTTGAGTGTTCAGTAGAAGACAGTGGGGGTCAGAATGTTTATGAATACTTCATTAGAAAATCTTTCCATGTTAAGTTGGGATATATTCTATTTGTATCTGTCTGGGCCAGAGCAAGACATATGAAAACCTTAGAGAATACAACGGTTTCACCTAAATGTGATAGGATTGCTGCAAAAGGTTGCATACATGAATGAAAAATCAACTCTTTGCGCGTATACTGTCATGAGTTCAGGGTATTCCAGAATGGATCAAAGCTTTCAGACTGAAAGGTAGGCACAGATGAAATCTTGCAAAGTATTTCAGCGACAACAAAAAAATCAACAGTAGAGGTTGATAAAATAACATTTCAAAATGACATGGGCTGTATGCAGTGATGGCCAGAAGAATCAAGGCTGGAGAGCAAACCAAGCCACAAAAGGAGTTCTGGATGACTCTTGCAGAGATTCAGACAGAAGTAAAT